AGTGTTTCGAAACATTACCTTAATTAACAACACGAAATGCTAATATATTTTAGGATTTTTATCGATTAAGGAATGTGTGTGTGGATTTTATCTTCCCGTGAAAAATCACACCTGCTTTTATGATGGTTACGATTCACACATGCATGGAGCCCACCCTCCCCTTCAAACGATGGAATGCCATGACTTTACACTTTGAGATCACTAGCAAACTATTACAAAGAAGAAGAAGAAGAAGAAACGAGTGAAACGTCATGGTGGTCATTTGTTAAATTATGTAATCAAAGGGAAACTTCCTAGCCAGTGAACTTAGTAACCTGCCAAACTTAGGTTTTAAACCCTACTCCAAACTAGGTTTGCAAAAATAAGATGAGAGAGTTCATCTAATTAAACCCGAATGATCAATTTAAATTTTAAATTATTACAATTAACTTATTTACTTCTTGACTCGAGCTTAAACTAGACCAGATCATTCGATTTAACAACTTTTTTTACAGGCAGCAAATTACTTGTAATTGAAAATTCTCAAGGCGGTCTCTTACCTTGCAGTCCTGAAGAAGACAACATGGGTTCCTTGACAATAACTAGGAAACATATCCTTCGAACCATCAAGCTCTCTGTAAAAATGGTTAATGGTCTTACCCATTAGTCACATTAATTATTGGCCATCATACGAAGCTCCCTCCACCAATCTTTTTGGTCTTCTCGACGATTTTGATTAGCCAACAATCAAGGGACCCCATTGGTGAGGCCATGAGTTCTTTGTACCACAGGAGCCAGGAACTAGGGCCCCATTCACATGAGACTGTGTAAGAATGATGGTACCAACACAGAACAACGAACATGTCATATGCTGATGTGCTATACGATGTTTTATTATTCATGCATGGGACGTACAAAGGTTAGCTAAAAGATATGATGGTCGGAGTCAACTCGATGGATCGGATCGATCTTCTCCGATGGATAAACTGATAGTGGCTGCATGACAGCATTGAAAGCACCACTCCATCATGAAAATAATGTGACAATTTTTAAGGAGATATGATATATATAGACGGTATTTATAAATATGGTAGTTGTTATTTCTTATTTAAAAATATATTAAAATAAATTTTTAATTTTTTTAAAAGTTATTTTTAATATAAAACATTAAAACTATCATCATAAAAATAAAAAAAAAATTATATTAAAAGCCCCATCCATCATAAAAAAGAAACGTGATAAAATTTAAAAATATATGTTTTTTGGTTTTTGTTTTTGCTAAAAGGTAATAAATTTTTACAGTATTTTTTATTTAAAAATATATTAAAATAATATTTTTTTTATTTTTAAAAATTATATTTAACAATATCACGTCAAAACAATCCAAAAACATACAAAATTTAAAAATGTTAATCAGATGCAATCTAAACAGCATTATCCAACAACAAAGTACTGTAGGGTTTAATCATTATATTTATTCTTTTTATTAATAACATAGAAGTATGGTGCCTCCAAAACTGCCCCAAAGAGCAAGCCAATTTAGTTCTGGTCGACTGTACTCCATTCAATTTTTAGGTTATTGAAAGGACAGCCCAAATTTCACTTCCTGCTCTGTGAGGTCATTCTGATTTTATTTTATTTTTTTATTTGACATCTCCGTACAATTTTATAGAAGTGTAACAATGAAGAATGACACAAAGTGGCCCATTTGTCAAAAAAAGGGTCTTTTTTTAATTGTGTTTTCAGAGCCATTAATTAAGAGACAGATGTAGAGTAGGGAAA